AATTCAACTTATCAACTCTTTTCCATGATTTCATATAAAAACTCGTTTTCTTAAATCTCTTATAACTTCTTCATCTTTTTGTTTTAGAACAAATTAAGCTTTCCTTAAGCTTAATTATCATCTAGTGATCATAACCCAACTTTTAAAACAACAAATAACCAAGAAAATAGAAAACTCACCTTTGTTGTGGCTTTCTCTCGTATGGAAGAACAAAGAGGAGAAGAAGGGATATTCTTCTTATCCCTTTCCCCGTATATATCCTCAACATAATACAATTTAATCATTTAATGGTTAAATGACCATTTTGCCCTTTAATTCTTTTAATAATTACTAACATTCCTTCCAGATAAATCATTGAATTATCCAATTATTCTACTTTAATCACCAAATTCTAAAGTTTTACAATTTAGTCACTAACCCGTATTTTGGGGTGTTACAATTAAAAGATACAAAATGATCATTCGACTATTAAATATGTTTCAAAATTGTTTTTTTTGTTTAAAAAAATTGACGGTATTCTGAGCTAAATGTTAACTTACTGACTGAGATATGATAAAATATGGTTTCAAAATCTCAAAAAGCTATCATATCTTAGTCAACATGTTAAAATCTAACTCAAACTGTTGTCAAATTTTTAAAGAAAAATGACTAGTTAGGAATATGCTAAATAGTCAGGTGACCATTTTGTAACTTTTAATTCTCGGGGACTAAATGAAATAACACCATATTGGTTGGGGATCATTTTGTAACTTTTAATAGTCGATGGACTAAACAAAATATTTCCCAATAGTCGGGGGACTATTTATGTACTTTACCTTAAATTTTTCATGAATAATGAATCCTGACGACCAATGATGGATCGAGTGAGACAACTAATTTTTAATTTTCTTTATATTTTTAGTTTTTTTATTTTAATTTTATAAATTCGTCATCCTTACGTAAAATTATACATCCATTCTTACTTACAACCAACTAATTCTGAGATATTTCGAAGATGAGGTGGGTAAATGAATCCCACGTCGCACATAATATAGGACGTGGCTATGTTCAAGCGTCAATCAGTGATGGATCCAGAAATTTAAAAATGGGGGTTTTAAATTTTAATTTTTTTTTCTTAAAAATAATGGGTATGCAAAAATTATAATTTTTTTCTTTTTTCCTTAACACATTAAACTAAATTTAGCAAAATTTTCAAAATAATAGAATACACTTAACCCCGACTTAGTGCATCCGCCACTGGCGTCACTATATAAAACACGACAATGACAAAGCTCTGTTGGGTTGGTAACCATATTTTCATCTCTTTTCTGGTCCACAAATGCATGGCGTAGGTGAGTTTCCAATTTGATAGATTCCAGATTACATCGCTTCCAAAATGATAACATTATGTTTCAACTTTGCAGCCGCCCATTGACAACAACCTTCTATACAAGATATACTATGAGTAGTATTGGAGTCAACCTAAGGGGATTTAAGTCCACCTCGTAATCGGTGATAGATCTAAAAAATTTATACGGGTTAACAAAAATAAAATTATAAGATTAATAAAATCAAAATGTAACTAATCAAAGAAATTTTAAATTTTAAGATATATACATACCTACTTTAAATAAAGCATACATTTGTCACTAATAGGGAAGGATGCGTGATTTTATGTTAGGGGATGAACTTATAAAATTTGAAGGAGAGATGAACATATAAAACTTTGAAGGAACAAAAAAATATTTTTAATAGGAAATATGAAATTTTTTTCTAAAATATATAAAAATTTAAAATTTTTAATAGGACGACCTCTCCTAGATCCATTGTGGGTCACCAATCATAAACCTCCTACTCATCTCCCAATCTAAAAGTTATTAGGGTTGGACTTCAGTTAGGTTTTACAATTTCATTATTACTTTTGTGCCGAATGATTCTATTCCCCCCCCCCCACAAAATATCCTTATTTCACATCAATATTTATTAAATTGTTTTCTTTCAAAATATTTTTGTAATCTCTCAACAATCGACATCCATGGATGTTATGGTTAGTATTTTAAAAAGTTGTTAATATTGTAAAATATGTTGATATTTTAAAAGAATACAAAGAATCACATATTCTTTATGAAATATTTTTACTTTAATTTTAATATAATAACTAGTTATTAATCTTATAAGAGTAAAATTGAAATGTGACACAAGATCTACTCCCAAAAGTTCAAATTAATGCAAATATAAGAGTTTGGTCTATTTTTAACTAGTTAACTAGTCCCTAAAATCACTCATTAATAGGCTCATAAATGAACTGAACGTTCAGCGAACTGTTCATGAACCGTGCGGCGAGAAGTTCGTTTATTTATTAAATGAACGAACATGAATAAGATTTTGCGTTCGTTTAATTAAATGAACGAACATGAACAAAGGGCTCGTTTGTTCATTTACGTTCCTGAACGTTCAATTATATGTTTGTTTATGTTCGTTCATTTATGTTCGAACAGAGGGCAAGTTGAATATGTTACGAAGATTATTAAAGTTGTTTGGATTTCAAGAATGTTGTTTTGTTGAACAAATTAACTTTAAGACTTTATTATGTTCATATAGCTTATTTATGATTTATGTATGTTTTTGTCGTATTCGAACAAATTAACTCTAAAGTTGCAGGTTATATTAATGAATTTTAAGTTGTTATTCTTGTTGTTTACTTTTTTACATTCGTTTGTTGTGTTCAAATAAGTTTTTTTTTTTTTGTGTTTGTGTTGTTCATTTATGTTCGTTCGTGTTTATTTATGTTCGTTTATTATTTAAATGAACAAGCATGAACAAGCTATATTCCTTAATGAACGAACATGAACAAAAAAAAAATTTGTTCGTTTATGTTCGTGTTCGTTTATTTATTAAATGAACGAACATGAACATACCTCCGTTCGTGTGCGTTCGGTTCGTTTACATGCCTACTCATTAACATCCATTGGCTTTATTATTTTTAGGCATACATGGCACTATGAATACCATATAACATTTGTCTTCTAATTCACCCCAAAGTAGAATCATCTATTAAATCTCTCTCTTCCTCTATTTCTCATACAATACACTGAAATTGAGTATATTAGTAAAGATATTGCTACAAAACATGGTTAGTATTGGTTATCACAGATAATGATGAAAATAATAATAGAAGAAAAATAATAAAATTATTATTACGTGATAAAATCTATTACCTTAAAAGTAATTTTATTTGGATTAATATAATCTTAAAAGTAGACGTTGCCTCGAAGGTTAGCACAATCTTCTAAAAGTCCTAAAGTGAGGAAGTAAAACCCACTTTGAATTGAACTTTTCAAAAATAATAAAAGAGGAATTATAAAAAAGTAATAATTGATGTGTAAAATAATGAGTTAGAGTTTAATATTTATGAGGATAAAAGCATGGACAGATAGATAGATATACAAGACAAAATCAGTTATTATAAAAATCTCCATTGTTCACAAAATCTACTTAAACTAGAAATAAAATTTTATTTAAAATATTATAATATTTTCTTTTATTTGCATTATCCAATAACCCCATTAATTAATGCGAAGAAGCAGATAAAACTAATATATATTGAAATGGCCAATTCTTAAGTCATTCTTTATCAACATGAAATTGAACATATAAGTCACCAAATTTACATTCATATTTTAATTTAATGTCACATGAGTTGAAACTTAAAATTAGATTTGTAACTTTCAAAAATTAAGACAACACGTAATTAATTCTTTGTCCTTAAATATATTAATCCCGTACGCATAATAGATTCTTAAACCTCTTTTCTCAAGTGTAGTTAACTCAACTCAATTTTTTTTTACATAAACTCAACCTTTTTTAGATAAATCTAAATGCAAACTTTAAAAATTATATTTAAAAAAAAAGAATTTTTATTTTTTATAAAATATAATTTTATATATGTTCATTCGTACCTAACTTGAAATGATTGATACAACTCTATTCTTTAAAATATACACTCACGACTAACTAAAAGATGATTTCAACAACACACATCTTAATGGTTTTAACTAATACTGTTGGAAAAATAATTAAATGAATCGATATTATTTATAACTAATTAATAATAAGTCCTGTCATTTAGTTAATAAACCTAATTTTTGGTTTAAGGTTGCATCATTCAAGCTTATTCAAAAATTCTCTTTATAAAAAGTTAAATCCTTTCGTGAAAAGGTTAAGCCCTTTCATCGAAATGATAAGTCATTTGATCGAAAGGTTAGGTCATTTCATCAAAAGGTTTTAACCCATCAATTTATTTCTTCTTTTATAAATAGGCTAGTTAAGGCACAAATCCTAGCAACAATTTTGAGACACAACACAACAAGTTTAGAACGTTGGAATATGAAAACATTTAGAAAATTCATTTCAAATTCGTTCTTTTCGGTGATAAAGAAAGATAAGATTATGTTCGACTGATCACTACAGTTGTGCTTACTGTTGTGATCGTTTGTTGTTGTATCCTAGGAGATCGACATCCAACGTTACTCAAAGCACCTAGGAGAGGACAAATATGTCTCAAGGAAAATGTTCATACATGCCTCAACAAAAATCATTTTTCGATTTATCTTACTCTACTCATCCGATTCTGTGTCTACATGCGAGTAACAAATTCCGTTTCTATATTTTAATTCTTTATTTATTGTGCATCGTTCGATTCAAAAATAATATATATTTATTATTATTATTTTATCTCGAATTAACATTTTTTTCTTACAAATACTTGTCCGGGGAAAAAGAGTTTTATATATATATATATATATATATGCACACACCTTATTCACAGGGATTGACTGAGGGGAGCCAGTAAAACGGTTCACCTTTCTAAAATTTTTAAATTCTCCTGTAATTTATATTTTTTCTCTACATTTTCTATTGATAATATATTTTATCCCCTAAAACTTTATAAGTTAGTCATCTCTCAAAATATTATAAGTTCACCATCTCTAACATAAAATCTTACTTTCGTACATGCTTATTCACTTTTATGTTTAAGAAGTCGAGGCTATGAAAAGGCAAGGTAGTTTGTCATCCTGGAGTTATCTTGCAAAGGTAGAATTTCCAGGGACTTCCTATCAAAGGAGCATGAAGCCTGGAAGTTGCACATCACCCATGATTATAACCGGAGCCTAAACATGGTTTGCAACATGTTTATATCCAACATGTAGGTTTTCGTTGTGTAACATCCAGGCTTCGGAATTGCTAACGAAACAACAGTTGCATACAAGCTACATCCATAATAAGACTCTTGAGGTATCTATCGTTTGTTTCTTTTCCGAGGTATCATTTATATCAGAAACTTGGCCGGGATGGATTCTCGTCAAAATCTTCGAGAATGACTTTAACTCCATGGTTCTTAAGGGCATTGACAACAGCCCAGACCTTGGTTCGGTTCTTAAAGCCTTTCTTCTCGATCTCCTTGTTTACATCAACATGAATCCCTCTTCCCTGTCCTTGCTCAAGACCCTCCACCTTGAGTCGCATAGCCAATACCTCACCAACAATGGTTGCTGCCTTGGCATTGCAAGACCGGCCACACTCCAATGAGTTCTTGATGGAATGTTCAACTGTTGATGCAGTTGCAACTATCCGTCCGTTATTTCTGTCTACAACATTTGCTGTGATGTACTTCAGTGAGAAGAACAACCTCAGCACATACCTCTTCAGCACTGTCATCCTTTTGAGCTCCTTAGCACTCTGTTTACATAATGAAACAATATCAAGTTTGCAGTTTATACATTATACTAGAAGGTAACAATCACATAATACTTCATTTTTCTCTATTGCAGGCCAAACCAAAGAATAGCACACGAGACTACCATAATACTGATATTTGTACCACTATGGTGGCAAGAACACATTCACCATTTTATTAAAGTCATTCCACAAATTTGACAAATTCTTAACAAACTTATTTCCATGTCTATTTGTTTTCACTACCTCAAAACATCGGATAATATCACATTTCAAGTTCCCTTTTTTTTATTTTCCCTTTATGACATACCAACCAAGTCCAACATCGGAATCATTGTTCTTTTTATGAAGATTTCAACTCGAAACGATTAAAAAATCATTATTGCAAAGTAATAGCAATTAGTTAAGTTTCAACTTTTAATCAACGATGATGCATCTGCATTATAAGCCTACTTGAAAACTATAGCCAATTTTAAAGAATACTTTAGGAACTGTCTGAATCTAGGAATCATGAGAAAGAACATCTTGTGAACAACTTGGGAAGTATTTACATGTTTGGACCTGAATTATTGTTCTCTTGGCTAAGATCAACGAGCTTGCCTCAAAGGCTTATTGTATCACTGATACATCTAATCCAGATGCCATCAGTGGCTTGCAATTCTTCCTCAGACACCAGAAACTACTAGGTGCCTTAATCCTTGTGCAATTCTCGAATACAAAACTCACTTAACTAATCGAAGCTCAAAGAAATGTCAATAACTCTAGCAATTTTTTATGCTCATTAAAAATTATAGAATTAATAAGTATATCATGAACATTAAAAACAATGATGGATCTGAATAGTTTGTTTGCTAGAAGAAGGGAGAATGTGAGACGAAACAAGCAATTGCATGAAGTATGAATTAAGCTCCAGGTGCTCAATGGTTTTAAGTCTTCTAACTTAGAACTACTCCGAATTGTATAGCAGAAGACAGAAATATAAACAACACAAAAAGAGAACATCGATTTTCCATCTAAACTTAATCTTTCATTTCTTCATTACCATATTTCATTAGATTTCCGGTTAAGTTCCCTCATGTAAATTATCTTCCTTAAAAAAACATGGCGTTACTTAAGAAGAAACCCAATGACCCACAAGTTCATTATTTTACCAGATAAAAGAACACACCTCTTTGAATGTCCAAAGATTCAAAAATTCAGAAAACTGAGATTAAAACAAAAAACTTGGGTTTACCAAGTATATAAAATTACACAGAATAAGAAGTTTATAAAATAAAAACAAGGTTCAATTTTCATTGAAGCAAATGATCAAACAGTTTATGTCCCGACGAATATGAGCAAATTCAACCAGCAGAGAAATGAAGATCACCTCAAAATATATTTAACTTCAAACCTAATACAAACAAACAAAAAATATGAAAAATGAAATTAAACTTACCGAAAAAATGAAAAACCAAACCAAGAGAAGAATCCAAAGGGAAGAAAAACTGATAATAGCAATTACCGAACAGGAAAAATTACAGACAAATGAGAAGAACACAGCCAGAGAGATAAAAGGGTCGGGCCGACATGTCCACTCCGAAGCCCAATAAAAAGTTAATTTTGAGTGTAGTCCCCTATTATGCTGAAACCTAAAATTTAATCCTTCAATTTTTAATTAATTAGGGAGATATTACATTTTCAAAGTAATTGCTAGGTAATTGTTGAGATTTTAATTCATATAAAATAGGACAACAATGACGGATTCAATATACATTGAAGGATGTCCATTAAGTTTCTAAAAGAAATTTCTCTGATATAAATTATATATATATATAATATAATATAAAAGAAAAGAAAAAATTACACTATTTTTAAAAATATTTTGACACCCATAAAAAAGAATTGACTCTACTTTTAAAAAATATTTAACAATAAAAAAATTAAAACTCAATTTTCCACTTAAAAATTCTTCGTATAGTTTCTAAATTTAATATCTCAAAACAATTTTTTTAAATTTTACCCTTGTAAATAATATAAACATTTTTACCACTCAACCAATTAATAAATCTCTTTAATCTCTCGATCTTAATTTAACATAATTTATTCACATGACTTCTATAATATTATCAGAATCTCAAGATTAATAATAGTATTATCTAATACAATTAAAGTGATTGACACAAAAAGAACCATTTCATAATCAATTAAGGTCATATATAGAATTTATAGATTCTCAATGAATAATAAATTTATATATCAGTCAAATACTAAAAATTATGGATATTATTATTATAAATTTATTAATAATATTATACAGATTATGTCAACTTAAAATAGAAGATTAAATATCAATTTCAATAGTAGGAGGGCTAAATTCGGAACAAGACGAAAGAAGGAGACCTAAAAACGTGCTGGAATTGCTAACTCAAAACGGCGACGTTTGGATGGAAGGTATGAGAGGCAAATTCAGGTCCGTTAAAAAAACCAAACCGGTGGCGATATCACCGTACAGGTGATCCTGCTCATTCCCTCTTCCAAAGCTTCTCCATCTTTGAAACCCTATTTTCCGGAGGTTTTACGTTCCTATTGTTTCTGTTCAGCAGCGCACTACAGCACTAAAAATACGTAAGTTCAAACTCTAGATCTATTTTCACCTTCTCCGATCTTCCCTCAAGAGACTCAGATATTATTTTTTTGGTTTTTCAGATTTAACTTATTCTCATTTCATTAATTAAATGGTTCTTGATCTGTTGTGGTGGTTAGATTGAAGATGGTCTCAGACGCCAGCAAGAAGAAGGTAGCTCAAAAGAAAGCTGCTGCTTCTTCGAAGAGAGGAGGGAAGGCGGCTGCAGCCGCTGCATTTTCCAAGGCTGCGGCAACCGCGACCTCGGAGAAAGGCGTCGATAAGGTTTCTGATAAAGTTAGTGAGCTCCAGATATCTGATCGGACCTGTACCGGTGTTCTCTGCTCTCATCCGCTATCGAGAGATATTCGTGTAAGTTGAAAGATTCTTTTATGAGATTTAATTTGATTTCAGTTCTAACCTTTTGTTGATTATTGGAATAAATGCTAGTATTTGATTCTTTTTATGCTGAATTGTTTGAGGACATGAAAAATGTGAAGCTCGTCTTTTTTAGCTTACTGTGTTGGAATGACTAATTAGTTTGGGATTTTCCATTTATGAATATAGGCAAATTAATTGAACATTTTTGTTATCTTTGATGAACTCCGTGTTGTGTCAGTGTCAAGGATGAATAGCTGTGTCGTAGTTTATATTTGACTGCGAACTGATTTTCTTGTTGCAGATAGAGTCCTTATCAGTTACTTTCCATGGACATGATCTTATTGTTGATTCAACATTGGAGCTTAACTATGGAAGGTACGATAACTTTAGTATATTCTTGTTTGGGATTTTTATCTCATGAGACCACTTTTTATTTCATATCATTTTTTCAGGCGCTATGGTTTGCTTGGATTGAACGGATGTGGGAAATCCACGCTGCTGACTGCAATAGGATTGCGTGAACTTCCAATTCCGGACCACATGGATATCTATCATTTGACGAGGGAGATTGAAGCTTCGGACATGTCTTCTTTGGAGGCTGTCATAAGTTGTGATGAAGAGAGGTTGAAATTGGAGAAGGAAGCAGAACTGTTGGCAGCACAGGTTTATTCATATTACCATGTGCTGTGATTATGATTGATTCATAAAAAAATGCATTGTAGTAACATTTTTTGATTTAACATTGAATTTGTTTTAGGATGATGGTGGTGGAGAGCAACTTGAACGTATTTATGAGCGATTGGATGCCTTGGATGCATCTACAGCTGAGAAACGTGCTGCTGAAATCTTATATGGTCTTGGTTTCAACAAGATGATGCAGACAAAGAAAACACGAGATTTTTCTGGTGGCTGGAGAATGAGGATTGCATTAGCACGGGCCTTATTCATCAATCCGACCATTCTTTTGCTTGATGAACCCACCAACCATCTAGGTATGTATTTCATGGGGTTTTATTTTTTCAGGTCATCCTTTATTTATATGGTTACTTCATGGACTCTATTCATGAACCCCCACCATTCTTTTTCTTCGTAGCCCATGAATCATTTATGTAGGTCTTCATTGGTTATTTTGTTTAGTTCTGTGTTTTAACTTTCACTTGTTGATGTTTTTGACATAATATAGCTCTTTTTCACTAAGCTTCTCAACTCTGATTTGTACGATTGCATTGGACTGAAACAGATTTAGAGGCTTGCGTCTGGTTGGAAGAAAATTTGAAGAAGTTTGATCCTATCCTTGTTGTGGTATCGCATTCCCAGGATTTCCTGAACGGAGTCTGTACAAATATTTTCCATATGCAGAACAAAGGCCTTAAGCTTTACACTGGGAATTATGATCAGTATGTTCAAACTCGTTCTGAGTTGGAAGAGAACCAGATGAAACAGTACAAGTGGGAGCAGGAACAGATTGCTTCAATGAAAGAGTACATTGCTCGCTTCGGTCATGGGTCAGCAAAACTAGCTCGACAGGCACAGAGTAAGGAGAAGACATTGGCAAAGATGGAGCGAGGTGGACTCACAGATAAGGTAGTCAGGGATAAGGTTTTGGTCTTTCGGTTTGTTGATGTTGGAAAGCTTCCTCCACCAGTACTGCAGTTTGTGGAGGTTGCTTTTGGATATACACCTGATAATCTCATCTACAAGAACTTGGACTTTGGAGTTGACTTGGACTCAAGGATAGCACTAGTAGGACCTAATGGTGCAGGGAAGAGTACACTGCTGAAACTAATGACTGGCGAATTGACTCCTACTGATGGTATGATCCGACGGCATAATCATCTCCGAATTGCACAATTCCATCAGCACTTGGCAGATAAACTTGACATGGAAATGTCTGCGCTCCAATATATGATAAAAGAGTATCCCGGAAATGAGGAGGAGAAAATGAGAGCTGCAATTGGGAAGTTTGGATTGTCAGGGAAAGCACAAGTGATGCCGATGAAGAACCTATCTGATGGACAGAGGAGTCGGGTAATCTTTGCATGGTTAGCATTTCGACAACCCCACTTACTGCTGCTGGATGAGCCCACTAACCATTTGGATATTGAGACAATTGATTCACTGGCGGAAGCATTGAACGAGTGGGATGGTGGGATGGTACTTGTGAGTCACGATTTCCGGCTGATAAACCAGGTGGCTGAGGAGATTTGGGTGTGTGAAAACCAAGCTGTAACACGGTGGGGAGGTGATATTATGGACTTCAAGCAGCATCTGAAGAGTAAAGCTGGTTTATCCGACTGAAACAATGCAGTAATTAAGCATAACTTTCAACTTATGGTTGTCACCTCTCGTGTGGTGGATTAAGCTTTAGTATTTGTGGAGCAGAGGGGCTATGTTATTGTTGGAAGCCATCAGTTTTCGTGGCCTTTGTTTGATGGGAATAGCAGAGTAGCATTTGTTAACCATGGGTTTGATTCACAGAGGGTTATTCAGTGATACTTGTAATAGCTTTAAAAGTTTTATACACGTTTTGTGCTGGTGAGTTGATGCGATCATACATATTATATTCAATCCTACGCTGTATTTCGAGTTTTCGTGTCATTTTTAGGTTGTTTGGTATTGTTTTTTTCTGGTGCGAAAATGTTTTTGCAAAATACTTTTAAAATTGTAAATATGGTATTGACCATTAGTTTAATATTTTAATAAATATCACGTGATTAAACTAAGCAATACTGTTTTGGTGTTAGTTATTTTTATATTTAAAATGGTCCAAAAATATTTTGTCAGAGTAAAACTAATTTGAAAAATTGTGGAATGTACCTTGGAAGCTTTAAATTAAGGACCTTGGAAATGAAAGAGCCTGCTAGCAAAATTTTTGGAAGAGGGAAATAGAAGACGTGGTAGAGAAGAACATATGCAAGAAACTTGAAGGCCCCAAAGGCAAAAATAAGAAAACTTACCATCGCATCTCCAATGCCAATGCTTAAAATTCAAACAAAAGGGAGGTTGGTCATTGAACCCAGACTAGGACATCCAGATTGGAAGTGCACATCCCGCCAAGAGTGCAAAGTGGCCACACAAGTAAAAAAAAAGGTTCTTGATTGGAATTGATTGCAACAACTATATGCAGGGTAAGCTACATACACATTCACTAGTAAGTTTTTGTTTTTAATATTAAAATTTCAAAAGTAACAAAATGGTCACTGACTTTATTGTTTTTGTAACACATCGGTTATTAAACCATTACCAATTACTATCGCAATCACATAAATCTGATATTGGCACCCTCTGACCAGCTACTTTGACTTACACTTAAAAAGAACGTAAATTCAAGCCCAATCTTCCTTAAAAACATGGTGAAACTGGTAATAGAGGACGCAGCCAAGAACCAAATCCCATGAAACCTGAAAACACCATTTTTGACTTCAAAGGACTGGCCTTTTAAGGTAATTCCTTCCAACTTCCAACTTCCAAGGATCGCTGGAATGTTTCTGAGGAATTGGAATCTGTGAAGGAATTGAAATCTGTCAGGAATTGGAAACCAATTCCATATTCTGTTTGGTTGGCAGGAAATTAAATTGGAATCCAATTCCATATTCTGTTTGGTTCGCAGACATGTCAGATGAATTTGATTTCAGTAATGTAAAATGACAATATTGCATTTCTTGTTTTTTTTTTGCTTAATTTTAGTTTGTTTTATAAGTTACATGTAGCAATATATTATAAAAATTTTAAAAAATTAAATTTTAATTTTATTGATTGATTATTCATTTCAATAAATTATAAAAATCATGCTAATAAACATCATAAGTTAAAATCATCCCAATTAGGGATGGTCATGGGTCAGGTTGGGTTGGGTCGGGTTTTTGGTCCACCCGATCCGACCCGACCAAAATAAAGTTTCACCAGACCCGACCCGAATATATGAATTAGAAACCCGACCCGACCCGAAATAATAAAGAAATTATTTTTATTCAATAAAAACAGTGACTTAATTATATATATATATATATATAGGGGTATTATTGTAATTTTTCATAAATATATAAGGTAAAATTATATATTTTTTGGATCGGGTCGGGTATTTTTTACCCTAAATCCGAACCCGACCCGATCCGAATATTACACCTAAAAAAAATCAACCCGACCCGAATATATGAATTAGAAATCCGACCCAACCCGAAATAATAATAAAATTATTTTTATTCAATAAAAACAGTGACTTAATTGAAAAAAATTATATATGGAAGGGTATTATTGTAATTATTTCTAAATATATAAGGTAAAATTATATATATATTTTCGGGTTGGGTATTTTTCACCCTAAACCCGAACCCGGCCCGAATATTACACTTAAAAAAACCGACCCGACACGACCAAAATAAAGTTTCACCCGACCTGACCCGAATATATGAATTAGAAACTCGACCCGACCCGAAATAAAAAAACAATTATTCAATATATGAATAAGTTACCAAAAGATTGATGAGGGTAGTATGATCAAATTTCAATTCCCTCCAACAAGGGAATTGGATTCCATCATAGAATAGAATGAATGTAATTCACTTTCTCTTATTTGATGGAAAGTTGAAGTCACGAGGGATTCTAATTCCATTGGAAAACTTGAACCAAACATAGAAAAATGGTGGAATTGGATTTCAATTTTCTTAATTCCAAGGGATTCATGCGAACCAAACGCCACCTAAGTAAGTGTATTCCATTGTAAGTTCCGTGGGAGAAAGCGAAATTCATAACCATAAGCAATCCAACATCATGTTGGGAAGTCAAAGCATAAATTCCTTGAGCTCTCCCCACCAGTTTCGAACTGGACTAAAGAAAATGCTAAATCTACATCCAAAAGGCGACTGCATATCTAAAACTTCTAAAATTCTAAATTAAATTTATTTCACTAAAATTGAGTTATTTTGGGCTGCTTTCACCGATAGTTTAAGACGGTTGATGTGGCATAAGGTTTTCAAATTGTCATTAAAATACACAAAATTCAATTAAAAACGGTGAAGCGGTAGTGTAACGATGTCGATGTTAATAAAAGTAATAATCCTGTCGTAAGAAGTAAATCCAAACTGTTTCTGCATTATCATATTGTTTGATTTATTTTTTCCTTTTTACTAATATATAATATAGAGAGAGAGAGAGATTTGACAGAAGAAAATGACTGACATCATAAAGATGAATCAGAGTTGTTGGATATATATAATTCCAACAAATCAAGGACATGAGAAGCAAACAGGTAATCAGATGCCGAAAAAACAACTAAGATGACAATGGCAAACAAACCAAAAGTAAGTAAACAATAACAAAAACAACCGCGAACTCAGTCTGTGACGTCATGAACACGCTCAGTACTCTATACAATTTAAATCTCTCAACAATGGCAGATAATTCAATCCAAAAGCTCCATGCAATCTTCGTAGCTTACCCTCTTCAAGGCCACCTAATTCCATCTGTTAACTTAGCCATCAAGCTCGCATCCAAAGGTTTCACCATCACCTTCGTCAACACGCATTCCGTACACCACCAGACCGCCAAAGCTCACCCTGAGATAGGGTCCTCGGATATCTTCTCTAGCGTCCGAGAATCGGGCCTCGACATAAGGTACACCACCGTGTCTGACGGTCTCCCCCTCGAGTTCGACCGGTCGTTGAACCACGACCAGTTCATGGCTTCGTTGTTGCATGTTTTCTCGGCCCATGTCGATGAGGTGATCGGTTGGATAATAGGGTCAGGGGAGAAGGTTCATTGCTTGATTGCAGATACTTTCTTCGTTTGGCCTTCGAAGATCGCTAAGAAGTTTGGGTTGCTTCATGTCTCGTACTGGACGGAGCCAGCTTTGGTGTTCACGTTGTACTATCACTTGGATCTTCTTAAGAAAAATGGTCACTTTGGCCAACAAAGTAAGTTTATGTTTTAAGTGAAATTATTATTTTCATCCTGGTATTTTACTCTTGTTAGTACGATGATAGGTGATTTATTCTTTGTAATTTGAGTAGAGATCTATAACCAGTGAATAATTGGTTTTTGGTTGGTATTGATAATGAGGAGGTAGATTACAAGAGAATAAGATCGAGGTGGTTTCATTGAGATCTCATTATATATCTCAAACATGCTCGAAAAATTTTATAGTAAGTTTTTAGTACGTGTCGGTCGTAGAGTCACAAATAATTATATGCCGACCATTAGATTAAATGGATATGATCGGATAACGGTAGATTTGATTTTAATAAGTCACATGAATCTATCATAAACCATATCAATAAGTGTTTTAGGATCTTTCGGTAATTATGAAGTACGAGAATAATGTGTGCCAAATATTTTTAACGGAATACAACTCTAATTTTTAACAATGTTAAGAAATAATATAATTCTTTTTTAGAATATGTTTTTTCAGATCGTCGTGGAGACACCATAAATTACATACCAGGAGTCGAAGCGATTGAACCGAAGGATATGATGTCATACCTTCAAGAAACCGATACGACATCGGCTTGCCATCAGCTCATTTTCAACGCATCCCAAGATGCCAAGAATGCAGATTTCGTTCTATGCAACACTGTTCAAGAACTTGAACCCCTCACCATATCAGCTTCACATGCCCAAATCCCCTTCTATGCAATCGGACCCATTTTCCCACCCGGGTTCACCAAGAGCAGTGTGGCTACAACCCTCTGGTCCGTGTCCGATTGCACCCAATGGCTCGACAGAAGGCCCCCCGGCTCGGTTTTGTACGTCTCGTTCGGTAGCTATGCCCACGTTACAAAAACCGAGCTAATAGAGATAGCTCAAGGGATTGCACTTAGCAATGTGAGTTTTCTTTGGGTGCTTCAACCTGATATCGTGAGCTCTGATGAAGCTGATCTCTTGCCCGTCGGATTCAAAGAGGAGGTTGGTGACCGTGCGATGATCGTACCATGGTGCAGTCAAAATGCGGTGCTGGCCCACCCTGCAACCGGAGCGTTCTTAACACATTGTGGGTGGAATTCGATACTGGAGAATACATGGTGTGGGGTTCCCTTGTTGTTTTACCCTTTGTTAACGGATCAATCCACCAATAGGAAATTGGTGGTGGATGATTGGAAGATGGGGATTAATTTGAGCAATAAAAAGCCCATCACGAAGGCGGACGTTTCCGATAATATCAATCGTCTGATGAGTGGAAAATCAGGGGATGAGTATAGGAACAAGGTGAAAGAGATGAGGAAAATATTGGAAACCGCGTTGTCACCTAGTGGATCATCAGAGACAAATATGGATCTATTCATCAAGGATCTCAAGGCTAAGTATCAAATCAAACTCATCTCCCAATAGTATTTGTAACAACTATCATCTCCAAATTTTTAAAATTTATAATATAACTATTCAATCTTAACAGTACTTTCATCAGTATTGTTATTGTCGTTAGATGTCATTAAAAAAATTGATGTGACACGTCAAAATCTATAAAAATCTTAAAAATTTATAACCTTAGAAACATGTTTTCTTTCAAATTGATAGTTATCACTAAGATCATTGAAATCATCACCTCTCGACGTTCTTTTGATCATCATCATCACTATTTAATGTCTTCTTCAAAGATCCTAAAAAACCCTTGAGATGTGACGGTGTTGGATTGGCTAGGCAGTGGTTGCCTTGGGGGGATGTTGAAGCTTTGGAAGTCTATCATTGTATTCCCAGAGATGAAGTCGATTGTGCTCAAAATGTCACGTTCTTTGTAAATTGACGATTATAATGAACATAGAATGTTTCCTGGTAAGCACTAAATATACTTACTATATCAAATTAAAATTGTCTTTAATCTTTATTTTGTATCGAATACAAATACAATCAAGATTTAACGCAATCTTATTGTCTTTAAGAGAGACAATTTATGAAAGTTCAAGAACGAATAGATAGTGGTTACCAAAACGCTCAGCGACAATTATCAAATCTACTCTGTCACATGATTTTATGTTTAGAAGATAAATTTCTAAAATTTTAGTAGGGGTAGACGAATTTATCAAATTCTAGGAGGCGGTAAACACATCATCAATAGAAAATACAAATAAAATATCTAAAATATAAAATAATTTAAAATTTTCAAGAGACAGTTGTCCTGACCGCTCCCTTATCCATCCCTGATTCTAATTCACATGCAAAAAGAATCTTAAGAAAACTCAATTTTACTTGTATGTATCCATCAATTTGTTACAATCAAATGAATCAATCTCTCACAGGCAACATCATCATCCGGCACTATGCAAACACATATGTTGTTCAAAGGATCTCCTCTTATTACAAATAAGTTGCATATAGAAATCGTTGAATGATATTTGGAAGCCAACACTAGAGGATACAAACACCTACAGTTGGGCTAAACATTTATCAATGCATTAAAGTCCAAAAATGCTATTGTGTTATATGACTTGCATCAATTATCAATTTAGCCAATACACATGTCATCATAGAACTCAATAGTTAGTTAACATTCAAAACCATATAGTCCAACATCAAGTTATGATCTGATCCATTTGTATTAAAACTTGTAATTGTAAAAATCATATTATGAATAATGAATGCGGATCCAAGGAATGGGATTTCAACTTTGAATACATAAAGAATAAGAATGGAATAAACAAAATGAAAAATATTTGTTACTCCAAAGTTATTGTTACAAATGATATTATTCAGATTTCCAACGAATATTTCTTCAATCCTTTCTCCATGTTGGTGGCAGGGTAGAGCCACGTCAGGCACCTCCTCAATATCCTTTGCAGGCTGGTGCAGCATAAACAAATATACATCAATTTATGGTATCATACATATAACAAACAAAATAACCAAGTACCTGCAAAAGTTCTAACAGACGCCATATCAAAAAGTCGATGATCATAACCGAGCAAAACAGCTTGCCTGCCACGCTCCACACGAAAGATACCTAACATGCCATCACCTCATTAGCAACCTTGGGAATAACCTTGAAAATCATAGACTGGTTTTACCAAACCTTTCAATGTTACAAGCTACCACATTGTATGTTACTCAGATTCTCCATTGTCCCTAAAATACCCGTGTCAGACACAGGATCGAACATCCGGAACATGGATACGAGGGTATCCCCTTCAAAGTATGTGGGAAAGCTTCAATAAGTTTAGTATACCCGTATTGAACATATACAAACTTCTTTCTACAACTATAGTGTGCATTTACCAAACAATATGAGTTCCACGTAAAAACTGTTTGATAATTGCTGGGTTGAATCAAAGATTTTTTTTTAATCACTTGCTAGATCGATTTCTATTCTTCCGGCCTTCCACATCAAAAACACTTAAGAAAATATCCATTTTATACACTCAACATCATACAAAAATCTTTCAGTGAACATGAAAAGTGTGAAACCATTATAGTGACATATTGACAAACAAATTTGTGAGCATCATCCACTGGGAGGATAGATATTGCCTTCCTAATTGCATGTACCATGTCACTTGGATCTGGTTCAGCAAGTACTATCATGTCATCTGGTAAAACCTAAAACAAATCAATGGGAAATTATAGGGTAAATAAATTTCTATCCCTTATTGTGCTAAAGTATAAACCAACTTAGTATGTCCATGTTAACGAGAGTTTGAAATACATGCCTTCAACAGTCCACAACTTGCAGCCTCTAATATGGCTATGCAGAAAGCTTCAGTTAAAGAACTGTCGAAAGGAAGAGCAAGAATAACATAAAAATCAGAGAAGTGACATTTACACTTGATTACAAAATGATCAACAAATGCTAACTTCCTCTTTTGTATATTATTTTCCCCTCATTTCTTTGCTTGTCTGGTTGCATAAAGAATTAAAATATTAAATATGGTGGTCCATAGGAACTGAACTTGTAACATCCGCAATACTGAGTTAGTGACCAACTTGTAAAGTTTCAGAATTTGGTGACTAAAGTAGAAGAATGAAAGAATTCAATGATTATTTGAATATATATATATATTGAAGGTTATTTGGTATTTATTAAAGGAAATTAAGGGTATTATGGTCATTTGACCAGAAAGATTTTTTATAATTTTTTTAAAGGGTAATAAGCACGGAGGAAGAAGAGTCCAGAGCATTCTTCAGTCTTCTTCCTCCTCTCAACCGTGAAGCTTGGTATAAGGTAAGTGGGTCTTTAGTTGGTTAATTCTTTCGTTTTAAAGCTTGTTTTGATTCTTGGGATATTAAGAAAGATTAAGGAAAGCTTTAAGTGGCTTAAACCTCAAAGATTAACAAGTTATGAGAAATTAAGAAAAATGAGTTTTTAAGTGAATTTTTGATATGGAAGGAGTTAATAGATTGTGAAGTTGAATTTGACTTGTCAAGGATTAAATTAAGAGATATGAAGTGATAGAATGGGAATTAGAACACATTGAAAATTTGGTATGATTTTTGAATCTTATATGGAAGATAGAATTTTGAGTTTAAAGAAGTGATTATGGAGTAGAAATGAGTTTAAGTATGTGTATGAAAGTTAGGAATATTAAAGGGAATGAAGTATGATGTGTTGAGCTGAAAATGAAGGATTTTCGAGCTCAAATATGATTTCTGGGCAAGGGGAATCGGTACCCATTCAAGGGGAACCGATACCCCTTCAAACGAACAAGAATTTCCAGTATGTCATGGGGAACCGATACCCCCATAGGGGGGAACCGATTCCCCCTAAAGGAAAATTGAGAATATGGGTTTAATAAGTTAGTTTAAGTTGCTAGTATCCAATTACAAGGTGTAGGTACCTAATGATGGTCTCGAAATGTACATTTATGTAGATTCTACGCATAAAGCAATTCCGGAACGTTTGGCAAGTAAGATCGATCAAGGGAAAGATAAGAGATTGGAATTGGCTAGTGAGGCCAGGTGAGTGCATATTAGTTAGTTTATGGTGCTAAATGGAAACAGACTTGCGACAAGTCTATTTCCTATGTTAGAATGCATGAATATATGATTATACGTATATGAATGACATGAATTGTATGTATGCATGAATATATGTGTTGACATGCTTTTGAATGTAATGTTATGAGAAGTATGTGCTGTATAATGTATATATATATACATATGTGAAACTGAACTATGTGACTGCATGAGAAAGATATGAGCCATATGACATGATATAGGTGAACATGAGAAAGCAAAGTATGAGATATAAACTATGTGATCATAGTAAAATATAATTATATTATTATGATAAGTGAAATAAGCTGGATAATATTGATCTATAGGATGAAGTGAAAATAGTACACTAACTAGGGATTTGAACATAAATGATAAGATGAACGTATAAGATAAGCTAGATGGGAAAGATTCATAGGTTTAAATAAACTATAACACAGGGGTTGAATGATAGAAATTTGTGAAGTTATATGAGAAGATTATAAGTGATATGAAATTGAATTAAGTAACAGATTAGATTATATATAGAAATAATAGAAGTGAGATATGTTTATAAGTCTGCCCTAGATGAATACGAAATATAAGAGTGCTATATGATTTATATTAGGATAATCTTGAGGATATATATATATATAGATAGATATGAAATGAAATGAAATGAGTTATATGAATACACAATTATGTGATGAATGGTGAATTACCTGAACATGTGAATATATATATATATATATATATATATATATATATATATATATATATATTTAAGAGAAGGCATAAGATTAAGATATAAGCAATATGACTTATAAGTATTGCTATTATAATGTTACATGATATGTTATGTATGTTAAAGGAATTATGTGATGGTATAAGAAATGCTATGAAATATATATATTGAAAACAAGTATAGGTTATGAGATAAGACTTATGACTATACTACGTGAAACTGTTCTAGGTGTTTCGATATATTATAAGTATATGATCTTATGTGAACAAGATATGATAAGTATGTTTATATGAATAAAGGTGATTGGGTGAGAAATGATAGAAATTATATGAAAACATGACATATGTGACATGTGAATTATATGGAAATGATCTACGTGCAAGTGAACTACGGACTATGTGATCATATGAAAGAAGCTATGTGATACGTGATATGTGAAAGTGAATTACAAGTTTATGTGAATATTTGAAATGAAATAAATGATAACGCCCATGTTATGTGTCATGAGAGCTAGGGGTATAGTTGGCATGCCAAGAGTCGAGGGTCTATTCGGTTCTTTAGGACATATGTATATTCTTTGGAACATGTGTGAAGTCTCGAAAGACACATACTTGATCCCTAGCATATGTATATGATTCTTAAGGAATTCTACGTGGTCCTTATGGACATCATTATATGGCACTAC